CGTGAAGCACTGGATGAACTTGTGCAGCATATAGTCGGTCTTTCACAGAAATCTGACTATCGCGACGGCACCATAGATGTCTCAAGTTGATAAACATCAATAGAGATTTCGCTATGCGTACGTATACCCCATCGGTGATCCTTCCACCGGACGAGATGTAGCCGCCTGGTATCAAAATTTATTTACGTTCTCTGTTACTCCCCCGGTTTCTGTGAGGAGCTTCGGCACCCCAGATTTGAAGCAGTATTTAACGCTTTGAAGAACGAAAGATCCTTCGGGATGGGGATAAGAGAAGGGGTGAGTTCTAGGTATCTGTGTTTGGGTGAGATTGATTGTGATCAATTTGGGGCCGGGTTACTCTGCCTCCACAGGCAAAATTACTCTCATTGTTGCTACTATTATGAATCATTCGAAAACAATTTTTCGCTTTCGGACTTGTGTTCCTATGTTTATTTATGGTTTATTCTGGAACTTCTTGTATCGCTGATCTCGACCGACCATTCTTCAAATTTTCTCTTCATACGCAATCTTCCGTTAATTCAGTCCACCATGCCCCACAGAAGCAATGCGCTCGAGTTCCACTCTCTGTACAGCTCAGCGATCGCTCATTTCCAATAACCCGCTTATGATTTTAACTCTGGACACCTTGTGTGGAGCGTGGGTGTGTTACCACTGCCACCTGAAGGCTTTCCAACATTGTCAATTCAACTAGGCTGAAATGTTGTTTTCAGTGATATCCAATCAATTTGTCAAGCGAAATAGCAAAAAGACAATGGATCATGTGTTCAGTCCATTCAGTAGCCTCCCATCAAATAAGATCTCCCATGCAGGCTCAGGCTATCTGGCCACAATTAGTTTGGTTTGTGTTTGCCTATTTTCACATCTGGTGACATTCCAGTTTTCATCGCAAGTCAGTTGTCGTCTGAAACGATTATCAACAGACCATATGCTATTTCTTCATTCCTCTGAAATCGGATAATTTCCTCATTATGTGCACCATACTTTTCAGAGTTTTACTCAGGCACGCTTTTAGATCTCGAAGTTGTACCCTCTTATTGGGCTCACACCTACGCCTTGTCTAGCAAATTAACAAATGTTATCTCGCTGGTTAATCCCACGTGGATCTACTCGATGGATGTGTTTTCGTCGATCTTATGCGACGGATGGGGAGCGTGCAATCGAAGAAATTCTACGCAATCGATTCAAAACCGCTCGTCTCATTCATGTGGCCGATGTGAGCGGTAAGATTTAGCAGTGTATTCTGTTGTCCTCTTGTTTGATAACAGAACTACTGGTATCCAAATCACTTCTCGCTCTTCCTCATTTTTCTCCTTGCCTTAGGTGGCTGCGGTGCCATGTACCAGATTGAAGTGGAATCTGAAGAATTTCGAAACATGTCTGTGCTCGCACAGCATCGGGCGGTCAAACAGGTGAGAATTGTTTTATTCTCTCTCAGTCTCCACACAGGTGTTATTGTTAGTGGTTTTTGTCGATCCGTTTAGGTCACCGTCCCCTGGTGTGCATCTTTAGGGATCCGAAGTTCGAATCCTTAGTGCTGCACATGCTTCAGAGTAGTAAAACAGGTTACATATAGCGTATAAAGCAAACATTCTGGCTAAAAATCTGGTTGCTTTTTGCCCTCAAAGATAATGTTACTGTTATTCTGAAAAAAGGTGGAAAGAGTGAGGGTCTTCTGCAGCTCATTGGCTCCCGAGAAAAAAGATGACCACAGGAGAGAAATGCGGCACCTACAATAGATCATTTGCTACGGGTTAATAACAGCTTCAAAGACGCATTATAAGTTGAAAAGAAACAGAAAATACCTTTCGGTGGAACAAAACCGAAGTAATAATGGCTGTAATTTAGTAACTACGAATTAAAATACGATGGTAAACAGACTGGCAACGGGATCAGTACTGAATGTGTCATACTGGAGCCTCCGGGTGATTGTCCATCAGTGCTTAGTGAATTCTCTACTTTATTTGCTTTCAGGCATTGAAGGAACAAATCAAAGATATGCACGGCCTAACTATTTCCACGAAATCTTGATGTCCTCATTTCACACCCCGCCGACCTATCCCCTGGGAATCCGGATGGAAAGCACCAATCATGTAATTATCATGCTTCATTTTTATCCACTGATTTGTTAGTTTTATTTTTCTTCGCCAATGTAGCTGAATTCAACCGATCAGACGAGCTTGTAAATATAAATGCAAATGTCATAAACACGAATTCTTTTCGTATCCCTTTTCTAATTGTGCATTTCAGGAATTCACATTCCGAGAGAATAGTTTTAATCGCGGTTTCTTTTTCGATTGCATAATCTAGTCTGAGGACAGTGAGTTATCAGATTGTGAAACAAACGAAACTGTTGAATAATGCGTTCGGAGAACTGGAAACCTTCCTAACCCGAAGAGGCACTAAACTGATTAAAGTGGAAACGTTCCCTTCCGGAATCATTTCCAACTCGAGAATAGGAAAACGACAACTTTTTTTAGTTGTTAGTTGTGATTAGGTGGTAATTGCTTCAGTGAACAAGCGTT